ATTTATTGGGTCAACAATGTATAAACATATAATCAGTTTTATCTCCAGTTTTTGTCTCCATCAACAAACATTATACTTTAGTTGTTTGATGTTTCTTGAAGAACAGCTGCCTGCTGCTGTTAATCTCTAACTCGATGTTTGTTTGGTATTGTTCAGACTCTCTGGGCTGCAGTTTCTCTTCATATTAATCTTACATAAAAAAACACTCTAATCATTCCCATGACAAACAGCAGCAGATAGGATCCAAGATTATTCTAAACTATACACAACTAAACTATAATCCTTTATAACTCTGTGGAGTCAGAAGAGTCAATGAATCCCCTGAATGGAAAAACCTAGTTTTACAGTAGATGATTTATTATTTCATACTTAATCTTCACACTGTGTGTTTCTTCTGTGACGCAGGTCTTCAGAGACAAGGCATCGAGTCTCCACAGGTGTTCCTGGTGTCCAGCTTTGAGCTCCACCTGTACAACTTCCCTCTCTTACATCAGACCTTAGACAGAGACCTTCCTGCACACAAGAGAGATGCTCTGCTGTGTGCCATGCCCAACTTCAACCCAGAGATCATCAGGAAGAAGAAACAAGCTCTGAGGTCCAAAGTAAAATACTGGGCTACTCTGTCTGCAGCTGGAGCAGCTGTTCCTGTTCCTGGTCTTTCTATTGCTGTTGATGCTGCTTTGCTGGTTGGTGTTGTCACACATTATGTTCATGCATTTGGTCTCGATATCCCGTCTCTGAAGAGACTTTCTGCCAGAACAGGTGTGCCATACGCTGCTCTGTGTGATGTCATCATTTCACCACTGGCTGCAGCAAAAATAACTAAAGAGCTCCTCCTGAAGGTGATAGCCCAACTTGGGTCCGTAGCTGCATTAATTGTAGCAGAGGAAGTGTCCAGATGGATTCCATTTATTGGAATTCTAGTATCAGCGGGTCTCTCTTTCACCACAACTTACAAAATTCTGAAATTGATCCTTGATAAGCTTGCTGATGATGCTCAGAGGGTGTTTGAAAGAGCTTTAGGCTGAACACATCAGTGTGAATTTGAAAGTAAAAGATGAATGAAACTTAAAAAAGTTCAAATGAAATTAGTTTAAATCATTAAATATAAATATACTGAAACCAAATCATGTTGCAGCTGCACATTTGAGCCATTATCCTACTATAGCTGATAAATGTATCAGAGGCCTCAGCAGGAATCATTTCTTCTCATCACATCAATACAGGAACAAATGTGATGTTATTATTCAGATATAAACTGCGTAGAAGAGCTACTGAAGTTTTTTTAATCCTTTGTCTGATTTGGTGATGTCATCACTGTTTACAGATCAGGTGATCTGATAGTTACTCCTGAAACATCATCGTCTGAATTTCCCCTGTTTGATTTACTTTGTGATGAAACTATTTTATTGTCATATCGTCGCTTACAGCTTAATAAATACTTTTAATGCAGAATGTTTGAACAGAAACTGCTCTGTGGTGTTTTTGTCCTGTTGACTGTAGATTGTGATGAGAGTTCACTGCCCTCCAGTGGCCACAGTGAGGAACTACCACACAAATAATACTGCTATGAATCCAAATGTTATTCCTGCTTTTATAAATAAATTGTTCTTGATAAACATTTTTACCATTTATGTCTCTATTTAAGAAGTGTTTTAAATTAAACATATTTTAACATAGAGAGTTCTTCAGCTCTCTCAGCATTGGTGAGTTGGACACAGTGTTAGCTCTGGACAGTCTTTGAGCAAATTAGTGAAAATTCATGAATCTGCAGTCTGTCACAACTTTGTTTTTTTTAATGTTTCT